CCATGTGATTACAGAAATTACGTGATGCTGCATTGACAGAATTGCACAATCACAATTAACAAAACAAATGAGCACAGTAATTACAAACACTGCGGCCTGAAATATGGAAAATTAAAATTGGCGATGTTTTGGGCAATGGCTCTTCTTCACATCACATATCGATGTGTTTTTAAATATTATTCATGATGATTATCAGACTTGGAAATTGATCAGAAACACTGCACAACCGCGCAACATGCATTGTCATTTGAGAATTGGTTTCAAGAGGATGTTGACAAAGGTGAAGGTGGAGCACTGTAATAGCTTGCTCACGCCACTGCTGGCAGGAGGGCCATCACTCGAGAAAGCTCGAGAGAGTGCCACCTATAGGGTATTTGGCCTACTCTTCCACACCGGCCAGACATCTTAAAATAGGTGGGATAACCCACACTTCACCGATCGCTTGACCCATGTATACAGCTGGCTGGACAGAGGAAAGGGTGGACGAATATATATGAAGCAAAGTGACATTCCAGATACAATTCTGGACATATCTCTGATATCCCCGAGATAATTCGAACTAGACAGAGGAAGCCGGCAGGTTCTGTGGATGTGCAGAGCGGGACTTACAGGTGCCCCTCCTGTCGCCCCACCTCCATTTCGGAAGTAAATCAAATGCAGAAAGAATGGCCAAGAGGGAGACGCACGTGGCGTTGTGACGCGGCTCTCCAATAGGGGGAACGTCACGTGAGCTGCCACGTGGAAGTGCTAAGCGTTTGTATTTGACACGTGTCCCTGTTTGTTTACAGAGTGGTATTAAAGTCACCCTGTACAGTGTCTGTTTAATGTTTCACGTTGCTGGAGCTCAGTTTTGTAATCTTGCGCTGTGTTCACTCTGGTCGAATTATTTAGTTTCAATCCCTCATGCAAAGCAGTTGAGCATTTCATTTGTATTGCTTCCGTTGCTTTTGGTGACGCAGGGGAACAGTTGAAATTCAAATCTATCGTTGGTCCCTTGAGTTCTCTCTCGGTTAAACAAAATAATCTTGAAACTTGATGTTAACTACAGCCCTGTACTGTTGTGGCAGGCGCCTGGGGGGAGGGGGGGTACTAGAGGGGGGTGACCCCCCCCCCCGACTCTCCTGCTGGTGGCTCAACTCCATTATAAATTCACGACAATATTTACAAAGGGATTTGGAGCTAGAGCAGAATGCACGACAGACAATGTCAACGATCTCGTTATGAATTCTGTTCAGCATTTCAAATGCGTTTAAAGTGTGTTTAACTTCGATTTTCATACCCCCCTGGGTGTGTGTACGTCCCCTGTTAAACATTGTCACGCTACAGCGCTAGTTGGCTGTTGACCTCCGAACCCAGAGGTGACACCGATGGACATACAGGGGCTCCTAGAACTTACAAACGAGTTAGGTTCCATAGGTCTGTTTGTAAGTCGATTTGTTCGTAAGTCCAACTTTACTACCGTAGATTCCAAACATGTTGTACGACATGTACACTAAACACGGGAATTGCTTTAAAAGTTGTTTAATCTCCTGTAGATGCAGATGCCACTGGTTCTTCATGTTCTGCAGATGTAGATGCCACTGGTTCTTCATGTTCTGCAGATGTAGATGCTAATTTCCTTTGGTGCTCATGTGTCCTTTCTACTCTCTTGAAAAGGCTCAGTTCGAACAGGCAACTGCACTTACGGACATGTTTGTTCGTATTTCTGAAAGTTCGTAAGTCGAGTGTTCGTAAGTAGAGGAGTCTGTAGTGATTGATGCATTCATTGTGATAATGCCAAGCAGATAATGCGTCGTCCCCATATTTCTCTCTCCACCTTAAATAATTCGTCTTTTTTTTTACAACACATCAGCCCCAAAGCCTTCTGGGAGTGCATCCTATCACCAGCATTGGTTCAATACATGCATTTTTTTTTACTAGATTCGACATTTGCTCTCAGGCTCGCTTGAATATTATCATTTGTTCTGTGATGACACTTTGTTTAACAGCTCCTGACCCACTACTGGAAAACGTTAGTTTCAGAAAACCTTCTCGTCCGTTGGACAAAACTATAATATTACTTTGTTTTACTGTGGTGAGCCAGTCTCTTTGCCACCCGTCTAAAAAAAAAAACCCTCTCTCTGCATCACGTGCCATGGCCCGAACGGAAACTGCTACGAGTTAAGACTAGTAATGTGTTAATGGTATGTTGAACTTCTTTCACACCGTTCGGCGCCAACCAGAGGTGCGCGCGAAGGACAACAAACTGAACACGCACAAAAACAAACTGTTCTATACGTTTGTAAGTAATCAGAATGAGCAGTCACGCACGGCGGCACAGATGACGCAAACCCCACCCTGTCTACCCATAAGGGGGTCACATTGAGTTTCTTACAACTCTGGCTACAGTAGTTTGAACACAAGACGCACGTTTCATTGGATGCACCCCCCCGCCCCCATGCCTTCAGGGCGACTGAAAATAACAAACGACCACAGACAACTGCACATCCGTTTCACATGCAGCCGTGTCCCTCTGCTGTGCCTCGTACCGCGCCGACCAATTGCTGAGCCAGAGGTGACTTATCCCCCTTAACTGACAATGAGTCATCAATAAATGTTTTAATAACACGACAATAGCCACAGCCACACTGAATAGAGTGTTGCAGACGGTACAGAGAATTACTGAACCGAAGGTGACTTAGAATTATTTAACGACAATGAGTGATTTGCATTATTAACAAAACAATGTCCCGAGCTGCCGTAGCCCAACGTTACAGACGTCATGTAATTGAAATGTAGAGAGGGAGCGAGTTTGGGTCAAGCACAGTTACAGTTAAGTTTTTAATGTAAACAAATGAATGTAATTCGGCGTGTACATGTCTGTCAGCGAGCCTTCGACACTTCACGTGGCCTCAAAGTGCACCTAGCCTGGCACATGCGCCGTGGTGACGTCACCGACACTTAGTGGCGAATGGTGGTTATTGGTATTGGTCTTTATCCTGCATTTATTGTCTAATGTACGCGCTCGTCGCTCTGACTAATGGTGATATTTCAGGCGTGCATCTCCCTTCATGCCTCTCCGTGCGCACTTTCACTTTCTTGGATAAAAAATTAAATGACCACATTTATTTATTTTTACATCAGAATCTTTATCGGCACCTTTAGACTGCAGGATGAATCCGATGAGCTGAGGCTCTTTTTCAAAGATGTCCAGTAGGGGAGAGTCAGCGAGTTACAAAAACAAAGAATACAAAAAGATTGTATCACAGCGGGTAAACATGGACCCATTAAAAATGCATCACTGGGCTACTAAGGTATAATTTTACACAGTGCACACACACACACACACACCTTATTTACTAATAATTACGCAAATGTGTGTTAAATTGCACGTTCCGTGGATCAGCTTTTTTTTTTACAAACTTCCCCATTATTAAACACTGAACTTACTCGCTTGTTCATAAATTTCTCACATTCTGAACACACCATCTACACTTGATGCTGCTTGCCGTAAACATCCCCTCGTAACGTCTCCATATGCGCGACCTCCCTCGCGCTCGCGATCGTAAAGTGACACGTCCCTGAACGCTTTAGGCCACGACGGGAACGCTCCATAGAAACCATCTCGAAGGTATTTTGTCCAACTCTTCCACACTGACGCGACGTCCCCTGAGTGCGGCGGGGGGGGGGGGGGTACCCGCACTTTAGTCCACCACATGCGACCCGCCGGTCGACTATCGGTGGTGTAACTCGTGTACATTGCAAGGGGGGCAAAGGCGGAGAGGGATTTAGGAAACTTGCCCCGTTGTGTCTCATTTCATCGTGTTCTTCTCACTTCCACAACTAAACTAAAAATGTTTTATTTTATTTACCAGGTAAGGCTCACTGAGCGATACAGCTCTTTTTTTAGAAGCGATCTGACCACAAATGATAGCTCAACGCAGTGGCTTCTCGGGTGAAAATTCAGAGCAGCCAAACACTCTACACGCATGTTTCTAAATGTAGAGGGAAAACAATCGGAGGACCGGGAGAAAATCCACGCGACCACGGGGAGAACATGCAAACACCAAATGCCACAACAGTGTACAGTAATTTAATATCTGAACCTGTTTTGGTAATGCCCTATAAAATACCGTCTGAGCTTCAAAGCATATAACCGTTTAGGTTTGTAATAAACGTGAACAGCAGCCCTGGACAGACTAAGACAGCCGGGCGTGGTTGCTGTCCCAACCACTCCCTCGTGTGCTGTGCCAGCCTTAGTAGGTGCTCGCTAACAGAACGAGCCGCCGTAGTGAGTGGAGTGAATAATAAATAACAGGGGATATTTTTGACTGGCAATGCTGCTCCATGTATACTGCGGGCATTGTGCTGCGTTGCGGGCATGTGTGTGTGGAATTCACGTGCGCCGCGCGTTGTAGCGCGTGAATGAATGAGCCACTGTGTTCGTATGCGCGAGCGCTTTTTTGAGTGTGCGTGCTATATAGTGTTGTGGGGAGCGGTGGCGCAGTGGTTAGCGCGCTGCTCTACGAAACTGGTGTCCCGAGTTCGATTCCCTTCCACGGCCAGCACCAGTGACGATTATCTGAAATGGTCCTCGGCCTTCCAAATGTCAACTCAGCCTCAAATTGCTACTTTGGTGCGGTGTGTAGTAAACATCGGCACTGGAGAGACAAAGGCGGCCGGGCGTGGTGCTCGCCACTCACTTCCTCGTGTGGCGTTCCGACCTTCATAGGTGCTCTAGCAGCACTCGCTCCAACATTCTGTTAAGGCTACACGGGGGGATCGTTGTCTTTTGTATGTTAGTGTGTGAGTGTACGTTAGTGTATATTAGTATTTGAGTGTGTGTGTGTGTTAGTGTGTGCGCCACTGCTCCTCCCGTCCGCCTTGCGCCGCTCACCCAGTCGCCACGATCCGTGCGCGCATCTCACTCGCGCGCGCGCACGAGAGGAGGAGGAGGAGGCACCGCCACGCAGCAAGCTCGCATTGCCGCCTTCTTCAGCGACACCAACACCAAAGATCATTCAGCGAGCATTACAAAAAACCCCACCAGCAACCACCACCACCGCCATCATCATCATCATTACCACCACAACCACCATCATCATCATCATCGCCACCACCACCACCACTTTCTCTGGTGCATCTGCGCAATGCAAGCATCGAGGCAGCGCCGTATCGCTCAACGATCCCTCGACTCCACTGAGCGCCGCGTTGACTCCGGGAGTTCAGTGCGCACCATCGGAGCTGCCATGGTGAGCAGCAGCAGCAGCAGCTAAAACGCACGCGACACCGGCTGCGCGGCGAGCCACTCCGTGTATCTGGTCTCTTGTTATGCGTAAAGCGCACACACAAGCCAAGCCCGTCTTGTCTGCCTTCCTGTCTCTGTCCTCCGCGTGCGTCTCATTCGCGCGACAGCGCGCAACTTGTTCGATTCGTTATAGACATAGACACGCAGGGCGCCTGTATTGGGGGGCGGGGGGGGGGGGAATTGGGACACAAGCAGAACTCGGGCGCCTGAATGTGTTCGGCTAATTGAGGTGGGGGGGGGGGGGGTGAAAGTGTTGACGAGATGCGTTACAATTATTTTCATTATTAGTTTGCTTCAACGTCTACGCAACCGTTGCCAATTCAATGAATAAGGCGACTCGCGTAAACAAAACACACAAAAAAAAACAACTGTGCGCGCTTTGACAGATGGAAAGGAAAATTGAACGTATCGTTCACAACAGGAACAGCGCTGGACGCGACTTGCAGCGAACCCGAGACGTCTCCGCAAGGCAGCAGCAAGTACGTCGCGCGTGTTGGGGGAACGAGTGCGCGCATTTTTACAGTGACGCAATAACAGCGGCCCTGTCGTCTATCCACTGCTGGATGAGGGAGAGGGGCCTCCTCCCCACGGCGGTCGCGGGTGTGTTTCATTATATGACGGCTCAAGGGTAAATAACTTTCGTAATGCCTCGAGATGCGGCTGCAGTTAAGAGCCTTCATACATACTAATTGTACCGTATTATTGTATAACGCTGTCACTATAGGCGGATGCTGTTTTATATACATGTCTATGCTGGTTGTAAACAGTGTTCGATGCTCCCGGAGTAAAACTGTGAGCAAATATAACCGCGTCGTCGGCTGTTTCGTGGCTGCTGCTGTTTAGCATCCCTACGGCGTGCTTCCGCGTTATACCGCGCGTCGTTCGGCCCGATGTCCGACGTTTTACTCCACGTTCTGGGAGCTTATTCTGATATTTAATGGACGCTCCCAGCACGTGGTGTGAAACGCCGAGCAACTGTGGACTTACAGATAATAAGCATATATACGCATAGCTACGTTCGGTTACCACATGTTAAATACAAGTGTGTCAGTCCATTGCGCTATTGGCTTTTCAAACTACCAGCAGCATCTGTTGGAGCAAACAAACTTCAGATCGGTTTCGCTCTCATGGGCCTCATCAGCAGCCAGGCGTTTAAACAAATGCTACTGTGTTGCGAGATGTTATTGGCAAAAACACTCCGTTTAAAACCAAGGTCTCGAGGGAATAAGAGCCGCTCATTTGAATTGCAGCGCAGCTGTGACGAATAATGTCAAGTGAAGAGAACCCTTCTGGACAGATCTACCTCGGCCTCGTGTCGCGCTCCCTCGTTAAGGAACAGGTAAAAGTCGTCATCGACGACCTCGAAATGGTCCTAGGAGAGTTGAAAGACGTCGCAAAAGAGCTGAAGGAGGTGAGTTAATGTTTGTTATGACCGCATTTCATTAAAAAAAAAACATCATCATCGTTGCCTATGATGAAACCACTGCTGGATGAAGGCCTTGCCCCAAGCCGGTGCTGCGATGCAACAATCCGTCCGGCAATGTGCACGCGAGTCGATCTCATTACTTCATGCACATTCGACGGGACGTTATTCATAAGCCCCTTAAGTTCATGCCCATGCTTGTGGTTGTGCGCATGAGCGATGCTAAATAAGAAGGCTGAATTTAGCTGACCTCATTAAATCACGATGGTAATGCGTTTCCTTTTCACGGTATGGTTCCCCGAATGCTGCTGCTGTTGTTTGAGACAAAAAAAAACATCATCATTTGTTGCGTCAATGGATGTCATGTACATGCACCCTGAAGGTCCGGTGGAAAGAATGCCCACAGTCTGAGCACTACTCAATCTGAACAGCTGCACCCGTGCGTGGATTAAGACAGTCCCTGTGGATTAAGGTCCTGAGCACAATTAAGAGAATGGGGAGACTGATCGATATGAACCGTATATATATATTTATTGGTAGTTGCCGCTCAGTCACGTCCGCCCAATGAAACCCCACAGGTGGTGAGCCAAATCGACACGCTGACGGGCAGCCTGAATCTGGACGAAGAGACGGACGAGTCCAAGTGCAGCACCCTCACCAGCTCCTCGAGTGGAGCCACGGGCTCCAGCGGAGGAGCCACGGTACATAGGCTGAGCCGCTTCAGCACCACGGTCAGCGCCTTCAGCAGCAGCAGCTGCAGCAGCAGCAGCACGGTGCTGACCGTGCTGCGCCGGGCAAAGCCGCCCGTGCCGCCCCCCAGGACCACGCCCGTGTCGGTGTCGTCATTGTCATCGTCGTCGTCCTCCTCCTCGTATCGAGGAGAGGTGGTCGCGGGGCAGGCCCAACACGCTTGCCTCCTCGTCAACGGGAGTCTGGTTCGCGTGCAGCAGCAGCAGCAGCATCAGCGGCAGCAGCATCTGCAGCAGGTGCAGCAGGTGCAAATGCCCGGCGGGTCTGGACAAGGGGTCACGGTGCCCAACGGAGATGCCGCTGCAGCTTCCGGCGCCAGCGGCACGTCGGAGGTGGCACGGAGGCTGCAGAAGTGCTCGCAGGTGCACCGGGTGAGCGTCACCAAAGAGGGCGAGGTGCAGAGCTCCGCGTCCAAGGAGCGCGTGAGGTTCAGCGACATGGTGCAGTACCACGGCTTCGTCTACGACTCGGACCGCTCGGAGCATCGCGTGCAGCAGCGCATGCGCGTGCAGGAGACTCGGAGCGTCGCCGCGGCAGTGCAGCACAGACATCAGTGTCCTGGGGGGGTGGTGCCCCTGGGCGGGACGGCCCCCTCCTCCGTGACCCTGGTCAGCAGCAGCAGCAGCAGCGTGTTCTACCGTGCCAGCGAAAGCGTTGTTCGCTCCAGGGACGATGCGAAGCCACCGCCTAAAGCGATCCTCCGCAAGTCGAGGAACACCACCGTCTAAAGGCGTCGGGGGGAGTTGAGCGGTTGTCGCGTACTCAGGGATATATATATCGTCAACAGAGACTGTGACGGACTGCTGGCTCCGATACCGACGGATGTTAACACGTGGGAATGATGACATTTGCTCTTGTGCACCTTAAAAAAAAAAACCAAACAGGACTGATGACGCTGCGTCAATTAATGCGAGTCGAGTATATTCAATAAATCATATATATATAAAAACATTGACATTAATAAAGGTGACCCGTGACTCCCCACCCCCCCTCCCCGACATCCCCGTTTTAAATAAACGAACCCTCCCCCACATTCTTTGATCCTCCAAAGTTCCCATGCCATGCATGGTTGATTGCGAGTCGAAAGCGGGATGGCGTGCCGCTGTAATTGACGTGAAAGCCATTTGGCAGCACGGGACACGGTAGGAAAGAGTTATTCAGTCGACATGCAGCCACTTCGTATCGTGACCTTCCGATCCCGCGTCACCTTCGCGGTTGTTTGTTGTTGTTGTTGTTTTAACCCCATTTTTACATTCGAGTGTATCATCATTGTGATGTGTTCAGCCTTTCTAAATAAATGCACTACAAGTTTCAATTATCTCTTTGAAGGAAAATAACAGAAATAAGCGTACTTGCACACACAGAGGCATCGTGGGTATTGTGACATCCTACACTCGCTTTTGAAAACAAAATGTACTTTAAATAGGCTACTTAAATAAAAACACACCCATATGAATAATTATCTCAATGTCACTGTTAGGGGTTGCACTGATGCATTGATTAATGGATTAAAATCGATTCTCTAAGCTAACGATACATGCATCAAGTCACTTTCATTATAATATATAGTTTGATTCATGCATGTAATAATAAATAAGACATTTGAATTATCCTTATATATTCTCTGTAATAGAGTTACATGACCCACTGCAGCCACTAAAGGTTGCTACTTTCATCACAAAGTAAAACCTAGAAAAATAATTGATAAGACGTACGTAGGTGGTTCACGGGTCAGACCACTGAACTGGCACCGCTGAGATCCTGGATTTGAATCTCAGCAGCCACCTGTGATTGTAAGTGTAGTGTCGGTTTATGGTCTCAGCATGAAATATGGTTCTGCACTTAAATTGGATACAATTTCAGCTCTGAGAATAAAAATACTGCATCGGGTTGACTTCCATCCACGCAGGGTAGGTGAGGAAAGTGCTGCCCCCTACTGTGGTGACCAGAGTTCACTTAAAAAAGGGGATTTCAGAAGCGGTTCAGCAATATCAGTTTTTTTTTTTTTTCCCGTGGGCTGTTCGCGAGCTGTGTAAGTTTGCACTGCTGTGCGAGAGATCCAAATGAAATCTTCACGGCATGACCTGATACCGATAGCACAATTTGGATAAGACAAAATAATTGATTCTTGAATTTAATTCTGTATTCAATTGTTGAATCGAATTTCTTACCCTTGAAATTTGGCCATTGAATCTTTGGGCAATTGCGAGTGGCGGAGGGTATCGGCTGGTGAATCACTGCACCCAAGGCTGTTGTGGTGCAGCTGTTTGACCCAGTGGGAAGTCTAGGTGTGCTGGGTATGGGCGAATGGTAACATTACTCACAAAATAATAACAGTGCCTGGGACAGCATTCACCTTCCTTGTAGACATAACGGGTGTAACTTCCTCAATAACACTATCACATATTGTTTTCGCAGCTGTGTTTGGGTGGCTATCGGATGTCTTTTCAGGTTGAACAACACCTAAATAGTTAATCTAAGAGAGAGCTAAACAGTATTTGGATCATTGGGTGTTTTCACTTTCTACCTAGCAACTTCAACTTGGGATCCACCATTGCTACTTGAGTACGAGTCATTTTTATATAAATTCACGATGCTGTATAAAAAACATTCTAGTGACACGAGAGTCAATATTTTAACAGGAATGCTAGTCTACGGGCACCGTTTCTGTTTTATTTATATAGCATTCCAGTGTGTGCTATTTACAAGGGATAATTTGGACCATTTTCAAGCTCACCATACTCTGCGTGTAGACGCTACACTTGATTGCAACTCCCCACCACTGCCTTCCCACGATGAGCTCCAGGGTTATTATTACCACAATCTCATAATTCTATATCACATATATTCCATTTTTGTGTAATAGTCCACTCTTTCATACCTAATCTGAATCAAATATTCTGATGGCCGGTCGGCTTATCTTGTTCCCTGCTTCAGCAGATCATTTAAAATCTAAATTAATTTTGTCACATCCATTGTTGAGAGCTGCATTCAGTGAAGGCACACATGCACGCACGGACACGCACACGGGGCTGCACTTCCAAGGGCGATATGAGTGGCTCAATGCTATTAGCTCTCGAGCCATTGACCCAAAAAAAAATATCAGTGACAAATGCTAACTATATATGTATAATTTTGTATTCATAATTTGTTACTTTTGGGTTAAACCGTGGAGGTATCGTGCCAATGTTTGTTTACTATAACCTTCCACCTCCCGACAAAAGCAAATCAAGTTGTCACGTCGGCACATGCAAATTTATTTGGTTTATTAGCAAAAACAGACTCTTAAAATGCAAGCTGGAGATTGCATCCAGAATCATCAGGTTGTTTAACAGGAGCTCAGATGTGGAGTGAAAGCGCTTCCTAATCAAATTCCTTAAGTAGATGCCATGACGTCATCGGCACATTCATGCACGTGATGGGGATTAATGTCCTAAACTCTTAACTAGAATTACAATACCATTAAGATGCCACCTTCAGTACGAACATAATACCCCTTAACATTATTAAGGATAGCCTATTTTCACCAACCGCCATATAGATTAACTTCATTACACTAATGTAACATGCCAATCACAATCACATGGCAATCAACTGTAATTATTAAACTAGATCACCTGCATGAATGTTGCCATGACATTGCAGTATCTAATTAAGGACCAGGATCAGGAAGTGCTTTCACAAGAGATCTGAGCTCTTGTTAACAACCTGATGATGCTGGAAGTAATCTTCAGCAAAACGCTGGAGATAAAATTAGACAAATTTTGTTTGCTTCTTAGCATTCCGGCTTTTGCTAATAACAAAATAAATTTGCATATGCACAAACGTGATAACTACATTTTATTGGCGCTGTCGGGTGGTGGAGGGTTACAGGTAAAAATAGCATTACATCTCCACGATCTAACCCGAAAGAAACCAATTATCAATCATAAAATTTGCCGTGAAAACCTACGTACAAAACGTATATATTTGTTTTGTATTTTATTCCTGAACTCCAAATGATTTATGATCGCAAAATAACCAAGGTAGCGTTTAAAAAAAAGATTATTAAAGAAGGGTACCATGGTACGCTTGATAGAGAATATAATATTAGTTAAAAACTAAGAAATATCTACGTGAATATGAAAATAACAATTGCATGTTTCCATGAAACAAAAACAGTACATATGCTAAGATTTCTGCCCTGAGGACATACTGCTCTGGATGAATATTTAAAGCATTTGCCACCTCAAGTGGCACCAGCCAAGCCCTCTTAGCGCATTGGGCGATATGACCAGCATTGGAATGTGCAGTCTTGGCATTTCCAGAAACACTGCCATTAATTAAATGACGTCCACTGTTCCCCGACACTCGTGCTCCATTTCGTTTTTCGGAGTACGATTATTTCCGAGGGGGGTTCAAAGTTCACGTCGCGCTTGAGGATAATTGACAAATGCCTTTTGTCTGCACGCTGGATGCACTCGATAATTTTAATAAATGACACGTATTAATATTAATGGACACTCTTGTGAAACTGTTCTTAAGCCTGAAAGGTTACTATTTTATTCAAATGCGTTGTCACACGTTCCCACTCGGGTAGTGTGGGAACAATAAATAAAGTACTTTGCGCAAGTTGTATTCCCCAAATCAAACAAGGGATGGCAGTTCACAAAAGTCAACGGCTGTCAAGGTGGACACGAATTTCCCCGTGAAAATGCATCCTGTGGACACGTTGTTAGCGCCCGCATTAACAATGCGGTTGGATGCCCTCATATTAAAATCGGAAGAGAGAAACATTATTCAGAAACATTGCATATTCAACCTCACATTCAACACCCTGCAATTATATTTAATACACACGATGAACGTGTATAATGATAAGGAGGAGGACATATATACATAAATAAACTATATTTATATGAACATATATTCAGCATCGAAGAACACTGTTTACCTACAACAGAAACACGTTGCGTCTGCCCACATCTGTACATGTCGTATTCGCTACGTATGTTTACAAACCACGCTTAAGCCTTTTGGTAAACACTTGCAACCCGGGATACAGCTCAATGAGAATCGCCTTTTCCTTCTTAGCGACGTGCGGGCCCCCGAAGTTAAAATCCGCTGAGACTCGACGGCTCTAAAAACAATAATTATTGTTTTCATTTTCGAATGCACCAGAGGGGCGCACGAGGCTATTGTAATGGTATCGATGTTCAACGGCGCAGTGGTGCAAAGGTTTGCCGGAAGGAGGAGGAACACAAAATTAAGATCGCTCCATCTAAGACGCGGCTTCAATACGTGCGCATTTACATTGCTCGCTCGCTGGCTCACTGCTTGGTGTAAAATGTTTTGTTGTTGTTGTTGTTGATCCGAGGGTTCAGGCACCCGTTTGTCGCCGCCACGTTGCTGCTCGTCTGCCCTTGCACGCCACTGTGGAATTCCAGCCAATGTGCGCTTAATAAAAGTCAAAAGTTCCATTTGTAGCAGCGTAACCACTGTGATATTGTCCTATTTATGTACTGTACGCGCGCGTATATATATAAAAAAAAAATTCAACGCAATTTGCTTGTGCCATGCGTGAGCTAACCGCCCATTAATGCGCAACACCCGACGTCTCGCGGGTTTATTCCAGGGTTCCGCGGCTCGTTGCCGCTGGAGGGTGGTGGCCCGAGGCCACCGGGACCCGTCTGCGTGTCTCTCACCCCGGCGAGGATTTGTTTGGTACCCCCTTTTGCGACGATGTCACCCTGGATTCTGCACCCTCACCTCCGCCGCAGGGAAAAAAGGTCGTGAGATGCCCGCTTCCAAACAAGGCTGTCAGCGTAGGGTACGAGCGGGAGGGAAGACAACAACAACAACAACAAAAATCCCCCACCAGAGACAAGCAGCAATGGAGCTGCGTAGGGATCCCAACGAAGGGACAATTTTATTAAAAAGAAGGCAGTGTCCGTCTTGTGCGAGCGTTTTACTGCTTTCATTAAGAATCCGCGGCAGCAGTGACGCCACGTGTGAAACACTGTGCCGTGAAGGCGACTTGAAATTAATACATCTCTCCAGTTGTCAGGTGATTCACTGACCCGCAAATTGCACGCCGCAGAAAATATGAATCAACGTTACTGCACGAGACCCCATAAACAAGTGTATTAACAGGCCCGGGCTGATGTGCCAAAGTCATCTGGTGTCTTTCTATTATGGAATTAATGTGTGCGGCATAATGAATCATTTTTGTGCCCATGAATTGCATTGTAATTTCAAAAAAAAAAACATTTATAATTACATAAATTCAGCACTAAATAGCACCGAAGAGATTAAATCCACCTTTAAATTCTGCTCGGAATATATAAATACAGTGAAGCTAATTAAACATGAGATACAGGCAAAACCATAAAAAAATATTTGTGGAGTATGAGTCAATGCTTTATCCTATCCAAAATTAATGAAAAGCAAAAATTCCTATGTAAATCTGTACGTAATTAGTAAAGGGTTAAATCAAAATTGCAATAAAATTGTGTGTTTTAATGCGTAAAATATGCACCATATTCTAACAAACTAACAAAGGTTTACTACAAAAAAGCTTCCCAGCCAATTACTTAATTTCCTTGCTAAGCACTTTATTTATCGCTAGTTAAGAGAAGTCAATGTCATCGGCATATTTGAGATGGGATGTTCAACGTAACAGTGGGATCATAACTGAAAAAGCTTGAGTTTAAACCACGAGGTTTTTTTTGCCGGCTTTCCAACTCATTCAGCTCAAACTACGTGGCATCCCTCAGTGGTATCTGCCAGGTAATGCGTACCTATCCCCCCCCCCCCCCTTCCTTTCAGTCATTCTGTTGCCCCTGTTGCTGACAATGGTGATGACGACGATGATGATAACAATGACAACGATGATCGTGGTGATGATGATTATTACATTGGTCGTCTCATTAACCCTTTGCACATCTCGAACAAATTATACTGGGTAACATTTCTCGCAGCCTCCGGCACTAGCGTTTGGCACGAGCCCTTTTGAATGTTAAGTACAGCTTTGCACGACCAGTGTCACTTAGCATGCGGTTTAGGGGTCCGGGACCTCTCCTGTACGAGACACACATTGAAAACGATTGACGAGGGGAAAATAAGCTTGAATAAACCGATATTTACGAATCAATGCTGTACATCTACGTGATGCTGGCGCATGGACTATTGGCCACTTAAGTCCCTATTGAGACCGATGCAAAGAAACATCTTAATAGCGGAAATTGTATTCAATATCTTATTAATTCATATTAATACATATTGTTCCCTCAATTATAAATAATTTGCGATGGAAGATAGCTATGAATTCCAATTGTCGCCAGTGTTATTATTTACGTAAAGCTGCATTCTCAGTTTACTCGATGACTGGCGAACCGACCGATATTTGTTTATGTGAGCATGATGTACAGAAGGTAATCTGCTCTGACGTGCATCTGTTCTGATATCGGAAACAAAAAAAACATGGTATTAACAGCTCTGTTCACTTTTGGTGATGTTTCCAGTTCAAGGAAAGATGTTATGTGTAGCCCAATTTTTTTTTACATAACCCCACCAACCATTACACGCACACAGCCCCAGCTGCTTTGAGGGCATCAGTCAGAGAGAATATTTATGACGGCTGAATTACCTACAGGAGACCTCTTCTTATGCACGTCCCAGTTGTCCTATTAGCAGTGGCCCCTCAATTCCAATTATTAACGATTTGGGGGTTAGATTGTATAAATGTGTCGTTTAAAGCGCCACCACCCGACACAGTCAATTAGTCAGATTCATCACGTAAACAAAACATGCGAAATCGTTACTATTTTGATTTAAAGCTTTCGTGACTGCAGGGATTCATATTCTTGGTTCTTTCGGTAAAGTCACGTAGAAGGGAAACAATAAAATAATAATTGCTTTATATTTGTATTATTTTATTGTTTCCCTTCTACGTGACTTTACAGAACCAAGAATATAATTCGTTACTAGTTCAGCACACCGGTTGTGTGTCGGAGAGTAAACCCACAACATTTACAATTCGAGTACGATGTTTCGCCGGTAATGACAACAACCAGCCTCATGAGGCGACAGCCAGCAATGCTGTATTCTCATGAATAAGTGGAGTACATTTGTGGATAGATCCGCAATATTGGTCCCCACATCACTGAGGGCAATACGAGTTCTCCTCCGGTTCATCATTGTCGATGTATTGCTTCATTTCCTCTTCAGATACATTTTCTGCTTCAACATTTTTTGCATGACATTTAAAGGTAGGAGGGGGGGGGGGAATTGCAAACGTATCCTGCACATAGCACACACTCAGTCACTGGGAAATGTAAAAAAGAATATAATTTAGCAAGCATTTCAACAGTTGAAGCAACATTGAATGAAATATGTTCTATCGGGTTTAATTCAAGTTGTTATCGTGCCAGGAGTAATAATGTGTAAGTAGTTATTATGAAACCCAAGGAAATTGGTAACAAATGGAACTAAAGCAATTTTTGCTTGTGCAGTTATGCAGACTAACTTCATCGGGGGCCAGTGGTAATGATGATCGACAACTAATATGTAAAATCAAATTCATGGAAAACGAAATATTGAAAACGGAAGACTTTCTTTGACCCTTACCGAAAGGATTTCTATTTATGTTTTCAAGTACACGTGGCCAGAAAGGTTTGATGGCCAACGGCCAAGAGCAACGACGGAATGGCAGCCCAGGAATGGAATGCGTTTGGGAGGAAGTTCAGCCGAAGGAGATGGAGCGCGACAAAAATGAGTTCATATGCTGGAAAAAATCATCTTACATCATAGAGTCATTGAGTGGTGGTGGTGGCTTGGGGAGGCCTTCATCCAGCAGTGGATTGACTATGGCTGATGAATATGATGATTTTCGAGTGCAAGAAAAATCAGTCCAATCCGTGCGTTTTATTTGTCGCTCAGAGCTGCACATACGAATCAATAAACAATTATATATACATACCGATGCAGGGCACCCTCGTGCGTCTGCGTGAGTTCCTCGTGCACTCCGAGGCCTTTGAAGACAGCGACTCCTCTGGAGACACCATGCCCTCTGTGAAGACTTTGGATTATCCGAGAGACGGGAAGCAATGTGTCTGGAGATGTCAACTGGAAACGTCTACACAGAAACTCAGGACGCAACAAAAACAGTCTAAGCGATTTTCCTGCTCAAAATGAGCATTCATGTGGTGCTCATCTCTTGTTTGCACCCCTGAGAGAGTGGTGGAAATTCCACGTTCCTACTCGTAATTTTTTCCACAAAGTGGAACTCATTTTATTGACCACAGAGGAATGAACGGCTGAGTTAACCCCAAACCAGGATTGGCCTCAAAGAGCACACAAATCGCAGCAAAAGAGTGCTGTGGCGACGTCACCGTCCACTCCGTGGCGAACAATGGCTCTCGCCGTTGCCTTCGTTTATTTGTCATGCCTGGTCCAGCAACTTGGTAGCCAGTGGTGGTGGACCACACAGAGATGTGGCCATCGTGATTGAGGCACCTGTACGCAAAGCAGCGATGTGCATTTCGCAGGCAGTAGAGGAAGGAAACTTTAACGATAATTGTGCAGAGCTTTAGAAAACAAATTCTTCCCCCACCCCCCCCCCCCCCCCCCCCCCCCCCATGTGCGTGAACGTTTTCCTGTAACTTGAGTGTCCCCCCCTCCCACCCACGTGATAATTTTGTTTTTAAAATGGTCAAATTGTCCCAAAGTGCGAAACAGAAAAAGAGTCTTGAAACCTAGTGACGCTTTCCTGGGTAGACAAATACATCGATGCTACGACATGCTCGTTGGCTGAAGTCTGGGTGGTAAGCGGTTGCAAACGGTGCCCATTTGGAGATCAACATTGCTCGTCAAGGAGAAGCATCACGCAAAGACGGTGCTGATCCTCGCTGCGGCTTCTGGCCGGCCATCGAACAAAAATGGCCACCGCATCACGTGCTTTCAGACGCGCTTCTGCCGCCTTCTGGAACGCTCCTCCTCCCGATATTAAGAAGCTACTGGAGATACGCACTTTCAAATGATATCCATTGAAAACTCATTTGTTTAGAACTGCTGTTTGTGGTAAGTCTGTTGACCTTCCCCCCGCACCTCCGATTAACACGGTTGGCTGCGTACGGCGCGAAAGAAGTTCAACATGCATACACACATCGGGGTTGAAGAAGCAGCATGTCTCGCCGTGGAATGCATCACACACGACAGAAAAAAAGAGCTTCTTTCTAGACCGTGGCCACTCAGAGGGAGACTAACGGCAAAGCTAATTCTCTATCAAGGGGTTTAGAAAAGAGTGGCTTGGATGAAATGTGCAATGTGTTGGGAATAAAAAAAAAATCCCCAAAGGATGAGCGGAGACAAAGTTACGCGAGTGATAAGTTTCGATTGAGAGCTCTTTAGGGGGAATGAATGACACGAGGAAAATGCGACGTTGTGGCTTTGTTAGCACACACCTCCCCATCAACACAACTGCA